CTCTCATCTCTACATCTCTTTCTCTCTCTAAAATGTTCTCTCTCTAAAGCAACAGTCTTGATCTTCCATATTGTCCTCATTCCCACCGCTATGCCCATGCTCATCTCCGATCTCTGCTCTTCTCGTCGGAAACTTCCATTTCTGGCGGTTGTAATCTTTTTTTGCATAGGCAGACGAAGTGAAGCTCTGTGATGAAGATGATGAAGTGGGTCTGAGAGGCTGGAGCCCTATTCGAGTTGGCCTTGTATCAAGCCTAGACCCACCCGTTGGGTTCTTTCTCTGACGATAACCCTTTCAGCAAGCGAATTAGCAGTGATTCTATTTGATCCCCAGCTTTGGGTCTACCAATCCTCCAGGTGAATTATACACACATATATATGTATATTTAACTATGAAGATTGATGAATTTAAGTGCTATTTTAGATGATGGTGACGGTCATTGTGAAAATTGCACAATTGTGTTCTTTATACTTTATTGATTAGTTGATTGTTGTATTAGTGGTTGCGTGCTTGGTTGCTTGGAAAATGTGTGAAATGGGTAGAAACTTAAAATTTGAATATTATTAGGTTGAAGGTCTGTGATGAAGATGAAGTGGGTCTAAGAGATGAGTAGAGAGCTAGAAAATAGAATTTCTCTGATTTTGGAGAGAATTTCTCTAGGTTTGGGAGAATTTCTTTGGAAAGTCTAGAGAAATTTTGGAGTGAATTTCTCTGTGAAGTCCAGGGAATTTCTCTGGATCCAATTTTCTCTGAATCAATTTGATGGACCTTAAACATTTTGAAAATATTTGATGTCCTTTATGCTATAAAGTCTTAATATTAGGGACCTTAAAAAAAAATCCACTATTTAATAACATTTTATTTTTGAAATTGGGACGACTGGCAAGTGACAAGATATAAAACTGCATTGTGAAATGAAAAATGTGAACAAATAAATAAATGTGAAATGCAAGGAGATTCTCTCTTCAAATTCTCTTGGCTTGTGGAAATATTAGTCAGTGTGTTTGGTTTTAATTTTCTGAATTTAATTTTCTAGATATTGAGTTTTTTTATTTTTTGTCTTTAGCAAATATTTTTTAAATTTTAAGCAATTTTTTTAATTTTCTTTTAGATGTATCTTACGTAAATGTATCTAAAAAATAAAATATTTGTGAAAAAATATTTTAAAAAATTAACAAATACATAATTCAATTTTTTTTATTTATATTTTTGGTATTAACAAAAAATATTTTAAAAAACTCGAATATGTTAAATTTTCAATTTTTTTATTTATATTTTTGGTATTTAGTGAATTTAAAAATTATGCTTTTTAAGTGTATTTAAGTTAGGTGTGTCTAAAAATTTAAAAATTGCTTAAAATGTTAAAAAAATTCAGTTAAAACAAAATAATATTGAAAACAAAAATATAGAATTTTTTGAAAAGTAAATTCTGGAAACTAAAACCAAATAGAGTGAGTACTAATCAACCATCACCCATCTTTAGTGAGTCTGAACTAATGTGAATAAATAAATAAAGGGTAAATTATATTTTGTACCTTTGCATTTTTTACTGAATCTCACTTTGGTTCTTACAAATGAAATTATAACAGTCAACCCACTACACTTTTGATCAAATCCTACTTTGGTCCTTGTATAATAAATTGTAACAGTTAACTCTTTGTATTTTTAATTAAATCTCACTTTGTTCCATATATAAATGTCAATGCCTCCTTTTCTATTACTCAATTGTTTAAATTTTTAATAGAACTTAATCATTTGATAAAAATGTGACTACGACATGAGCGTAACAAAGAAAAATCATTTACATTTTTCACCAATACATACTTTATTCTAAAATTTACATCAAATATAACTATATTAAACTAAAACAAAACACAAATTGTGAACAATTAATAAGATGACTAGAGTTTTGCATAAATTAAAATCACGAATTTTATTTTTCATGGTAATACAGTCTTCTATCTATCATCTTTTTTTTTTTTTTTTTGATCGGCTTCTATCTATCATCTTTATTTCTCTTTGATTTCACTATCGCATTTTTTTATATTTCAGAAGCTCTACTTTTTGACCTTTCTATTCTAATTTTTACCATATGAACACACACACACACACACACACACACACACACACATATATATATATATATATAGCTCTCATGTTTTTATCACGTATGACAAAGTGTATTGGCGGAAAATATTGATGATTTTTTTTTTTTTCATTTCACTCATTTCATAATCACATTTTTGTCATATGACTTAATTTTGTGAAATATTTAAAAATGAAGTAATATAAGAGAGACATTAACACTTGTGTAAGTATCAAAATAAGATTTAAATAAAAATGTAAGAAGTTAACTATTACAATTTCATATGTGAAGATTAAAATAAAATTTAATGTGAAATATAAAGGTATAAAGTGTAGGATTAATGTTGTCGGACGATAGTCACTTCAAATTCTCTTGGCCGGTGGAAATACTAGTATTAGTCAACCGTCACCCATCTAGTAACCATCACCCATCTTTAATGTGAATAAATAAATAAACGTGAAATGCAAGGAGGATTAATGTTGTTGGCGGTAGTGGCTTCAAATTTTCGTGGCTTGTGGAAATGCTATAGTCAACCATCATCCATCTTTTGTGAGTCTGAGCTCGGGTGATTATTGCGTACATCGTCTTCTATAGGATTATGATTTGTGGAAAACGTTAGGTATTATAATTTTAGATTGAGTAATTAAAAAATATAAAGGAGCATGATAATTGATAATTGGTAAAATAAAAATAAAAATGAGGACATATGATATTATGAGAGTACTTAATAATTTTTTGTCTCAAGTCACATTTTTCTATAAATTTATTTGGATAAATTATAACTAGCCTATCACCCGTGCTATGCACGGGATAATTTTAGATATTTGTATTTGTTTTAGATTTTTTTAATATATAAATTATGTTTTGTAAGACTTTTTATAAAAATAATTTAACAATCTTATCACTAACCATAGTGTATCGGAGAAGTTGAAAAGGATACTGCAATAATTATACACGGATTGTATCTATAATTATTTATATGAGGTGATTTTGAATGCTGATCAGGAGTTTTTGACTAAATCAATAAATGCAGGCATGTGAAAAGACATGTGGATTGAAAAAAGTTAATAAATTCTGATCAGGAAATTTTGACCAAATTAATAAATGTTGAGTTTTTTTTTAAATAAAAAATTTAAAAATTTCAGATTGGGATATTGAAGCTTCCACAGGCCTTGGGATTTAAAAACCCCCTTTTGCTTAATATATAGTACTAACATATCACCCGTGCTATGCACGGATTGTGTTTACAATTATCTATATATGTGAATTGCGATTTTTAAATGTCTTTTTTTTTTTTAAATGCCTTCTTTTTTTCCTTTTTTATATTATATTAAAGTTTAATATTTTGATAATAATCATATGTGTTAAACTTTTCAAGGAATTAAATATCTTTTTTTTATTATATTATATTAAAGTTTAATATTTTGATAATAATCATATGTGTTGAACTTTTCAAGATTTTTTTTTTGTATGCTTGTTCTTAATGCATTAAAGTGTTATTATGAGGGATAATAATCATATGTATTGAGACTTTTCAAGAAATTCGTATGTGTTGGATTTTAAAGAATTTTTTTTATGTTTGTTTTTAATACATTAAAGTGTTATTATGAGAGTAGGACTTGGGAGTTCAGAGAAGTTAATAAATGCTAAGGTTTTTTTTTAAATTAAAAAATCAGAAAAATTAGATTAGAAATATTGGAGCTCCCACAAGGCTTGGGGTTAAAAATCCCCTTTTGCTTAATATATAGTATAGATATGAGGGTAGGACTTGGGAGTTGGGAGAAGTTAATAAATGCTAAGTTTTTTTTTTTTAAATCAAAAAATTAGAAAAATTAGATTGGAAGATTGGAGCTCTCACAAGGCTTGGGGTTAAAAACCCCCTTTTGCTTAATATATAGTATAGATAGGACTTGACTCCTTTCAAGTTGGACAATTTGAAAGAGCATTTGGGCTTGGTAGATTCATTCTGGGGTCGATTTTGGTGATCCGAATCGTTCAATTTTTAGGATCCATTGAATATATTATTTATGCAGAAAAAAAAGATATTTGTTTTGAAAAAATGGATAACAAATATAATTTTAAAAATAACCATAATTTTTTGTAATACAAATTTGACTTAAACATATAATTACCAATGTCGGATTATCTTGATTTTTTATATGAATATTCTACTCAACGAGTTCTAAATAGTGATTGTTTTAGACCATCAAAATCGATTCCAAAATGGGCATACTAAGCCTAAACGTTCTCTCAAGTTGAGATGACCAATTTGAGAGAAACCAAACCCATTACATTAATAGTTTTTTCATTTTGTCTGTTGTGTTAATTTTGATTCTTACATTTTTAATTTTAACTAGTAATTTTAAATTTTGTATCAATTTAGTTCAATTGATAATGTCATTAAGATTTTTATTAAAATTATTATTAAGTTAATTGAGATTAACTTACTGAATCAATCAAATTTCTAATTAGTTGAACTGTTCATATCATATGGTTAACTAAGAAAAGATATATTTAAAAAATTAAGTTGATACAGTATAAATAATCACATTATTAAATCACATCTATTATAATAAACTAACAGTCTGTTATTAAAAACACGTAAGCTTTATAAATAAAAATGTTCTAATAATATGACAATTGACATTTGATGAATTTAATTTTTTATATGAATAATTTTTTTATTTAATTGTACAATATGAACGATTTATATCACTAAAATAAATCCAAATTAACTTGATAATTGATCAATTTTATTGTGATGTTGAGATTTTTAACTCATAAGAAAAACTGTTGCTTTATGCGATGGGTTTCTCATCTTCTACTTGATCATTACTCTATAAATACCTTTCAAATTCATATGACAAAGCACATATAGATATTACATCTTCTTTATTTCACATTTCCTCCAAAAATGGCATCTTCAACTCTTCCCCTAGTATTCATAGTGAGAGGACAAGATCCAAAACTTCTTGTTCCATCAAAGCCCACACCACACGAACTCAAACAACTCTCAGACATAGATGACCAAGAAGGTCTTCGTTTTCAAGTTCCAGTGATCATGTTTTACAAAAACAACCCTTCAATGGAAGGGAAAGACCCTGCGAGTGTGATTAGAGAAGCACAAGCCAAAGCACTTGAGTTTTACTACCCATTTGTAGGGAGGCTCGTTGAAGGACCTAATCGGAAACTCTCAGTGGATTGCACAGCCGAAGGGGTTCTGTTCATAGAGGCAGTTGCAAATGTGGAGCTCGACTGGCTCGGCGACATGGTACCACCAATTTGGCAGAGGCACCTCCTCTCTGCTAGACATCCTCCCTCCATTACATGCCCACACCACGAATACGACCAAGCACTAGCCAGAGCCGCCACCACCACCACCACGATGACCGCTCTTTCTTCTTTGGTCCCAAAGAAATCAGAGCCATTCGCAACCATCTTCCCCACCACCACCACAGCATAATTGCCTCCACATTCGAACTACTACCGCGTGTATATGGCAATGTCGAACACGCGCACTCTGCCTAGCCGCAGACGAGATTGTTCGCGTCTCGTGCATTGTCAATGGCCGCGGCAATAAACACGACCTCAACCTACCTCCTGGATACTATGGCAACGTGTTTACCTATCCGGCGGCGATGGCAAAGGCAGGAACGTTATTTATGCTTCCATTGGGATATGCATTGGAGTTGGTAAAGAAGGCAAAGGCACAAGTGAGCGAAGAGTATTTCAGATCAGTGGCTGATCTTATGGTGATGAAGGGATGTCCTTTGTATTCCTTGGACGCGAATAAGGATTATATCGTTTCAGATACAACTCGGGCGGGGTTTGATAAGGTAGATTTCGGGTGGGGGATGCCGGTGTTTGGCGGTGTTCCAAGGGCGATATCTTTGATTAGCTTTTTTGCACGTTTTAGGGACATTGGAGGAGGAGAAGATGGGATTGTGGTACCTGAGAGGATAATTTATATGAAAATTTGGGCCGAGCTGGGTAATGGGCCGTTATGGGCCACAGTGCGAAGGGCTGAGTAAAAAGGCCATGAAGTTACTCCGGTCCAAGAGAGGTGTAAAGTTACTCCGGCCCAAAAGAGGTGTAAAGTTACTCCAGTCCCAAGGAGGTTAACTCGGTCACCATACTAAAACTTATACCGGTTATGGCGCAGTACGGTTAGCTCGGTCTAAACCTTGCTAAAAGTTAGCTCGGTTTAGACCTACCACGGTTTGTACAGGAGGAACTGAGGTAAGGGCAGTCAAAGGACGAACCAAACTAAGGATAGTTCGGTCTGTTCTACGGCTAAGCATGGCCATGCGTACCTCGGCCACATTGGAGTCCGACCATGGTAAAACCATCTCACTTGGTTTAAACAGTGAGGGGGGTGTTGACGGATAGGCATTATCTTTCAGGAGTATGAATCCTAGGAGGACTCTACATGGAGGAGTAAGAGTCCTACTTGGATTGTGCCACATGGAACCTCTAAAAGCTCACCAACATCACCAATGGAGAGGTAATACAACTTTGATTCCAGAATACACAGAGCTTTTGTCTAGTTGTCTATTTTGCTGACTTAGGCATCGGAGGGGTTTCCGGCACACACCCGCCGGTTAGCTCACATTTGTGTTTTGAGGGAGTAAAGCGACAACGTTTGGAGGAACGCGGACTTGAGCAACAGGATTATACGAGAAGGTTTATTTCTTTCCCGTACAATTGGCGCCGTCTGTGGGAATTCAGACAAGAACAAAACCTCTTGATCAAGCTTTTCCTCTTTAGAAGCAATGGCGCACAATGAAGATTTGCCGCAGTCCGCCATCGACGGACAAACACCAGAAGGGGGGGCAAGACGTAAAGGCCTACCTTCTATCCCTCCCATGGCGGACTTAGAGCCACAACGACAAAATCCCAGGAGGGATACAAGGGGGAGGAGGCGGACTAACAGCCCCCGTCACTCTCGTTCACGAAGTCCTAACAGACAAAGGCGGAGAATTGATCCTCAAGTTCTGGAGGACCGCGTAAAGGAGCAAGATGAATTAATAAGGAAGATGGCGGCGGACATGGAGGCCATGAAGCGCCAGATGAAGGGAAAAGGAGTTGCGACAGGAGAGGGGCACAAAAGCAAGACGACTCTTCGCCACTCAGAAGACCGTGGAAGGCATTCCACACCATCACGAGCAGAGAGTAGAAGCCTCAGGACAGGCGATACTCAATCCAGAACCTCCAGAACTCGTTACTCCAAGTCTGAGAGAACGAGATCATTGAGGTCTTACACTGAGGGAAGTACCTATCGACCCTCATGCTCGTTCCAGACGTCATCTAGGCAGACGGAGTTTCCAAGATCGTCCGATTTGCGGAACATGTTGGAAGAAAAGGCACGAAGGAAGGAGGATACTAGGGTGCGCAACCCTCGTAGGGTATCTGCCCTTCAACGGTTGGCTCCTCGGACGCATGGAAGCGTCGAGGTCGGAATGCCGTCTCCACGCCCTGCCTACGAACCAACGGACAAAGCATTAGCAAGGCTGCAGACATCGCCGTTCGTCCCGGCAATTGAAAACGCGCCCCTTCCTTCAGGTTTCCTTCAACCCAAATTCACCACGTACGAGGGGAAGACAAACCCCTACATACACCTAAGCCACTTCCGCCAGGTTATGGCAGTATATCGGCGAAATAAAGCTTTGATGTGCATCCTCTTCCCATCAAGCCTTGGTGACCTAGGCTTAACTTGGTTCGAAAAAATTCCAGAAGGCAGCATAGCCTCCTGGGCACAATTGGCGGAGGCGTTCGTCACGAGGTTCAGAACGAACACCAAAACCCTGGTGGAGATTGACCAGTTACTCTCCATCGACATGGGCGAAAAGGAGACACTAAGATCCTACAATAGTCGCTACTGGGAGACATTCAACCAGATTGGGGATTGCCCCACCAATCTTGCCATTGCACAGTACAAAAGAGGCCTTCCAGTAGGAAACAGACTAAGGGACTCAATCACCATGACACCGCCCCTCACCATGGAGGCCTTGATAGAAAGAGTGCATCAGCACATTAGGGTGGAAGAGGATGGCGCCCGTGCCAAAACAAAATCTGGCACGACCGTAGTACCAGATATAAAGACCACAGCAAAGATCAACGCAGTAGAACGTCTGAAGAAAAACGGACGAGGCAGGCGAGACAACGGAGAGGACCAGGATAAAAGATGGTTGAGAATCCACACAGCCATAACCACGGTATTCAAGAAACCGATCTACTGGATTCTGAGCAAAATACGCGATGAACCTTTCATCAGATGGCCAGCTAAGCTAGGAGAAGCACAGAAAGACTACGACGAAAGGTCACGATGCACCTTCCACAAAAAAAAAGGGGCACCGCACTGAAAATTGCATGCCATTGAGACAGTATCTGGAGAAGTTGGTGGCAGCCGGTCACCTGGATAAATACATTGAAGGAGGGACGCAACCAGCCCCCCAGGACCACAATAACCCCAATGGAATGCCAATTGACACCCCACCTCAAGGAGTGATCAATGTGATATATGGAGTATTCGAACCTGAGCGTGTATGCGAGCTCAGAGGGTCGATCAAGAAGGCTGAGCACTTAAGGGAGGTACTAAGTGTCCAACCTACCATCAAAAAGGGGAGAATGGAGGCCATGAACGTCATGTCTTTTTCAGACAAGGACTTGGAAAGAATATACTGCCCTCACAACGATGCACTGGTCGTCACCCTCCGCGTCAAGGATTATGACGTCAAGCGAATTCTGATAGACCAAGGTAGCTCGTGTGAGATAATGCACTACGACACCTTCAAACAACTGAAATTAGAGGACAAAGACCTGGCACCAGCTGTATCCCCCCTGATCGGATTCAATTCAATGCCAGAATGGTCAGTCGGCAAAATTATACTGCCAGTCAGAGCAGGAAGCGTGACAAAACAAGTGGAATTTTGGGTATTGAAAGTCCCTTCCACTTACAACATAATCTTGGGAAGAACATGGCTCCATGCCATGAAATCAGTAGCATCATCCTACCATCAAGTAATGCGGTTTCCCAATGGAACCGGAGTAATTGAAGAGGTCTTTGGAGACCAGATTATATCCAAGCAATGCTTTGTCACGGCTAACGGCAGCCGCGCTGCCAAGAGATTTGTACATTTGGTGGAAGAACCTGAGAGTAATGAACTGTTCGCAGATGTCGGCAGAACAGCTGATCAAAAAGCGGTGGAAGATTTGGTAGAGGTAAGAATAGATGAAAAGAACCAGGATAAGTTCTTTTTGCTCGGTTCGTCGTTGTCCAGCACTGAAAGATTAGAGGTCTTCGAATTCTTGACCTCTAACATCGAAGTGTTCACCTGGACACCCTACGACATGCCAGGCAATGATCCAAACTTCATCAATCACCAACTCAATGTCCACCCATTTGCCAGACCAATCATTCAGCGCACTCGCAGATCGGCACTCCACCACGCCGAGATAGTGGCAGAAGAGGTGGGAAATCTGCTAGAGGCAGGAGCTATCAGAGAGGTGCACTACCCCAGATGGATTTCCAACACAGTCGTGGTACCAAAGAAGAATGGCAAATGGCGTGTCTGCGTCGACTATAAGACAGTCAACAAAGCATGCCCAAAGGACAGCTTCCCCCTACCACGGATAGATCAATTGGTAGACTTAACAGCGGGGCACAACCGGCTAAGCTTTCTGGATGCATACAAAGGCTACCATCAGATCGCCATGTACGAACCAGACCAGGAGGTCACGTCCTTTACAACTCCAAGAGGACTGTATTGCTACAAGGTCATGCCCTTTGGCCTAAAAAATGCAGGGGCAACATTCCAACGGATGGTCACCAAGATGTTTGAACCATTGTTAGGCAAAACAATGGAAGCTTACATTGACGACATGGTGGTCAAGAGCAAGGATAAGAATGACCATCTAACGAACCTAGGTGAGATGTTCCAGATTCTAAAGAGGCACAAGTTGCGCCTTAATGCATCTAAGTGTGCGTTCGGAATAGGATCTGGAAAATTCCTGGGCTTCTTGGTGACCAACCGGGGGATAGAGGCAGACCCCTCCCAGGTCAAAGCTATTCAGGATCTGAAGAGGCCTAACTCAGTAAAGGAAGTGCAGCATCTCACCGGCATGGCAGCTGCACTCAACCGATTCATTAGCCGGTCGTCAGACAGACTACGACCATTTTTTCAAGCGTTAAAAGCCAAGTTCGAGTAGGACGAAGAATGCGACTGCGCCTGCGCCCTGGAAAGCTTAAAATAATACATGTCTTCTCCACCACTGCTGGTCACCCCAATACCTGGAGAAGAACTCTTCCTGTACCTGGCAGTCTCACAGCACGCAATTAGTGCAGTGTTGGTCCGTGCGGAAGAAATCCAACATCTGCCCATCTATTATGTCAGCAAGACATTGCTGGGCGCCGAAACAAGTTATTTACCACTAGAAAAGCTGGCCTTAGCCTTAATGATGGCA